ACCTTGATGATTTTATGATTCTATAAATTAATCTTTAGAAATTACAGACATGTATAATAACAGTAATACAGATACTCCAAACCCTCAGGTGAATGTAATTTCTGTTTGAAAGAGAATGGTACATTTCAACAAAATATAGGATTAGTTTTCTGGAGAAGATGCTTATAAACTTTGTAGAAACCTCCTTTTGCACCTGTACTTAGCAGCCTTTCCACAACAATCTATGTGATGGATTCACCATCCCTGGAGGTTTTCAAGCTGAGACTGGATGTGGCACTTAGTGCCATGGGCTAGTGACCACGGTAGGGTTGGACTCGATGATCTTTGAGGTCTCTTCTGGTTGATTCTATGATTCTATGTGAAAGGCTAAAGAAATAGGGAAAGGCCTGGATAATTCTACTCCAACATACAGAAATATGAACTTGTTTCCTTTGCTATTTAGGTAGGGAGAACCACACAGGAAACATCATTTTCAATGCAGTTATTTTTATTTATTTATAGCTCTTTCCTTTTAAGTGTCAGGAATATTGTTTGGGAAAGAGCAAAAATGCTTCCAACTTCCATGTTCTTAATGAAAAAGCTGGAAATAGAGCAGAGCTGAGGGAAAGGCAGAAAAAAAAGGCAAGTAATTAATGTAAAACAAGGCCAGGGTTGATTTTTTCTTTGGTGTTAGGTTTGGCACTCAGAAAGACATAAAACAAAGCAGATTTTTATAACAAATCTTTCCTTTTCCACAGAGAGAGAAATATCACAGTGGTTATTTGTGGTTGAGAAATGATGGCCATGGGCTCATAAACTACTGTAAGAAAGGCAGTGTGCCAAAAGGGACATTACAAGTGCTCTGACTCTCCCAACTCCCTATTAGTCACTTCAGGTTTTGGTGGGTGTTTTGGTTAAATCATCTCCAGACTCAAGGATTCCTGTGCCATAACCTCATAACCCACGGCCCCACTGCATTATCTTGTAAGGATTGGGCTTATTACACCCTTATCACAAAGTTAATTGTGCATAAACTCAGTGAGAACTGGGGCATTAGGGGCAGTTTTGCTGTCCAGCTGAAAATGGCAGGAGGCAATGACAAATGTGCTTTTCTGTGCTTGTCATGTGTTGGAATAAATGTGATTTCCTGAGCTGCCAATTTCTGTGGTTCCAAGTGCACACAGAAATTAAGTAACTTTCAAGTATGGGCCTAGTATTTAAAACCTTATCAAGCTGGGCTTGTTTTCAGGTAACTAACCCTGACTGGCTGAAGATCCTACACCATGAGAAGACAGAAAAAGCAGCAGCTGAAGCCAGAGCTAAAGTAAGTTTTGCAATTGGGTCTTCCTGGTATCCCAAGTGCAGTTGCTAAAAAGTGCTAAAAAAAGTGAGTGATCATTATGCCATGCTTTTTTTTTTTCAGATGAAGTTTTATTGCATCTGAGGATATTTAATGATACATTTCATTAAAAAGAAAAGGCTAGAAAAATCTTCTGTCGTTATTACCATGCGAACAAAGTGGCCACCACTTACACACATACACCAACAAGGCTTTCTGCAGCCTGGGACTGGAATTTACACTTGCAAGACAGATTTTAATTATATGGGGAAAAATACTCCTTCCCACTGTGCAGTCACTGGGAAAGCTAAAGCTTCACTGTTGGCAATGACACCATGAACCTCCCTAGCCACTCCCAACAACTGGATCTTTTTATTTCACCGGTAAGGAACAGGAACCATCAGTGGAAACTACTCAGAGAGCATCAGAAGTCGTTATTAAAAACCTCCAAAATGTATCAAATTGTTAATGAATTTCTTTAGTTTAAGAGTCTGAAAAGTCTGAATAGTCTGCTGTAAAATCCAACAGAGACTGCAGAAATCCTACGTGGTGGAACTCTGGATTTTCTCTGTGTAGCAAACTGCTATTGCCATCTTAAATTATTGTCACCGTTCAGAACTTAGACCAGAAACAAAACCAAAGAACAAACAATACTGGCCCAGTTATGTACAAATAAAAGTCAAAATCGAAGGAAAAACAACCTCCCTAATTTCTTTCTGAAGCTAAGGCTTGAACACAAGAAGAAACAAAGAATTATGTCCAACTCTGTCCAAGCTACCGTTAAGATAAATTTCCAAAGCTTTGTGCTTATTCTGTATTGCTTACAATATATTATGCATATCTTTAAAAAGAAACCCTAAACAAAATCCACCCAACAAAACCTGTCACAGGCACTTTGAGAAGATTATACTCTGTGCTAATTACAAAGCTGAACATACCAGAAGGCAGAAGTACCTAAGGTAACAGGTGAGCAGTGTGAGGAATGAATAGAGCATTACTGATGCCTGACAAACTCATTCACCATCTGTTAATCTCAGCTGCTTTGTATAACCACACCAAGAAATCCTTCCATTAGTTTGAGTAAACAGTTCCCAGTTTTTTGTAACTGTACAGCTGCACTGCCTTTTGCAGGATTGTCTGGTTAAAATAAATGCCTTTAACACCAATTTTCGCAGTGTGTTTCGGTACCCACTGTCGTTCCACTTATTTGAGCACTTCAAAATGAAACCACAGATAAATTTCAAACCTGGGTTTGTGTCAAATGCACTTCTCTAGGAGTTATCTAGAAGTCTCAACCTTAGTGTCTTGAGCAGTTCATGTCAGTAGTGGTGGCTACCCAAAACTGGAGGTTATTTGGGAAACAACATGACAGTTATGTGAATACTTCTGCACAAACACCACAACTGGACAGTCTTCTTCAACAGCACAGCAGGTCAGCAATACTTGAGGCCCAAAAGTGTCATGGTGTGCTTGAGTGCTGTTTCCTCCACAAACCTTACGTTGACATGGTCTGGTTTTTCATATGGATGGACACCTGGAAAAAACATGGTGAGAAAGAATTTACAAAATTGTATGTGCTCATGTACAGTTCTGCAGTCTATTAAACACCTTCACCTACAGTTCCAAAAGATAAGGGAATAGGCAGAACTGTACACACAATGCTCACAGCTTTTAGTGATGTCCTTTGGATTAGTGGGATGTCATTAAGTGACAGCCCACAAAAAGGGAAGCTAGGCCTCCTCTGGAGGCTGCTAGGGATTTCCAGACTGCACTGGAGATCCAAACCAAGACTGAAGCACAGTGGCTGTTAGTGCTAGTGCACAAAGTGGCCCAGGGCACATGCTCATACACTGCTATATGGTTTAACTCTTTTTCCTCCCCAAATGGGATAATACCCAAACATGGACAATCTTGGTTTAGCCTCCAGGTCCTTTCTTGACTTTATTTTGCTTACTGGTACAGGGACAGCCAGTAATGCCTCCCTTAATGC